AAATTTTATAGACTTAACTTTATGTACAGTAGTCAGTCATCATTCTAATTTGTTTTCAAACTTTGGACAAAAGGAGACAAAAGATATTTACCACGATAAATCTATTTAGTGACAAATTAAATTTTAATTTATGAATGAAAACCCAAATTAAAAAAAAAAACAGTAAAATCAAAATTATAAACACAGGATTATAAAACAACTGTTTATTCTGTTGAAATCTGGTTTTAATTTTTTTTTTTTTTTTTTTTTTTTTAAATCACAGGTTTTAGATGGTATTTCTACAGACGTGTGAATAACCATATAGAAGCTCCTACTGTTGTCCCAACTCGAGACAAGCATCCTGGGACTTTATGAAGCGTAAATGGATCTGAGCCTCATACCCACGATTTCGCTATGACCAACTAATGCACCTCCTATGAAAAAACTTCCTACCCTTAACCCTAGCCTTATGTCTCTGGCATACCAGCATACCAATTAGCTACGCTGGTCTCTCCCCCATCTAAGGCAGTGTGCCCAAACAATTAAAGGATCACTATGATAAAGTGAACATAGAGGTATAACAGTCCTCTCGCTGCCTCAAAACTTAGAAAAGTAGGAATCAAACCTACACAGAAGAGATCAAAACTCTTCATACTCCCTCTATGTTATTTTCTAGTAGGGTCAACTAACTAAGCTATCGGGCCCATACCCCGAAAACGATGGTCCAACCCCTTCCCCTACTAATGAACCCCCACGCAAAACTGATTTGCACCTTGAGCCTAATAATAGGATCTAGCATTACCATTTCTAGCATCCATTGAATCCTAGCCTGAACGGGCCTAGAAATCAATACCTTAGCCATCATCCCCCTCATCTCCAAGTCTCATCACCCCCGAGCAATCGAAGCTACAATCAAATACGTCCTCACCCAATCAACTGCATCAGCCCTAATCTTATTTTCGAGCCTAACTAATGCCTGATCTACTGGCCAATGGGATATTACACAACTTAACCACCCCACATCGTGCCTACTGTTAACAATAGCAATCACAATCAAATTAGGATTAGTCCCGTTCCATTTTTGATTTCCAGAAGTCCTCCAAGGCTCCCCAATAATCACTGCCCTGCTACTCTCAACTCTTACGAAACTCCCCCCCATCACCCTTCTCCTCATATCATCACAATCCCTCAACCCTACCTTACTAACCACTCTACCAATCCTTTCAACATTAATAGGAGGTTGAATGGGCTTAAACCAAACACAAACACAAAATATGGACTGTAGCAGTACAATCTCTTTGAAAACCATCAGAACACAAAAGGGATCAACAAACTGGGAGACATTTTAACCAATTAAAAATAAAAATGCTTGCCGCAGCAACAACAAAATAACAAAGCCCAAATCCTTTCTTCATAATTCTTCACGAAATCTATCCAAGACTTTGTTTTAGATTTAAAAGCCATTGTATACAAAAACACTTCATCCTATATGGAAAAGAATATATTATTTCATATATTCTTCTTTTTTGTCTCTTAGAACTACACAAACAAGGAAATATCACCACCACAAATTCATAGTTGGGTTAATTTTGTCTTCAATGAAGATAGCTAACTTCTAGCAGATATGCTAAGGATTGCCTGTATTTTTCATCCACATGCTTGGGAAAAAGTGCTTTTCAAAGTAAAACTCATACACAAGCACAGTAAGAAGTAGCTGAAATTAGTGACTAAAAACAAACTGCCCCAACAGGCAGCGAAGTGATGCTAAATCAGTGGAAACAACTGTTTTACTTTGGGAGAAGTCTGAACAATGCCACTTATCTAGAAAGTCAAAATCTTTATCTATTCAACAGTGCTAATGCAACTACTTTATTTATCAAGAGAATACGCTTTTGTGTGCAAATGCATCTTTTAAGAGAATATGCATATGCCAGTCCAACATTTAACGATTCTACAACAGAAGATGAATAGAGAGAGGACATGAAAATTATCCTAAATTAAGTGAACCATACCTGAAAAAATAAACAAAAAAAACCACCAACAAACAAACAAATCTCAACTCCCACCAACTCATCCCATATTTTCTCAACATGCAATCCTTGTATGATTGTTTGCAAATACTTCATTCTACCATAGGTTAGATAAAGGAAAAAAAGTTCATTTGTGGAATTTAGGATTCTACAATTCACTTCCATCTGAATGGTCACAGAGATACTAGGTTAATTTTTTTCCCCTATTTTCTTATTTTCTAGTTATCCAAGTACTACAATATATTGATGACCTTCTGTATCTGACCTTCTGTTCAGAAATTCAACTAACTGCTGCATTCAGACTAGAATTTCTCAAGAGATTGTTATTTATTATAAATAACTGCGGAATAGAAATTGTCTCCAAGGGTTCAGACAGACAGGCTCTGGTGACCCCTATACATGCTTTTTTTTGCAATGCTACTAAAAGTCACTGTTTCTCTACAGAGAACAAAAGTGAGTACAGAGGAATTATATTCCTCCTGATTATCTGAACTTTGAAATACTGTCCTGTCTTTCCTAGTTAAGAGGAACTTGCAAGGTACACGGCTATAAACTAGTTTCTGTATTTTTTTTCCACATAATGCTTGTAGGTTCCTTGACACAAAGAAATCATCGGCATTTCAGCTTTGGGTATTTAAAAAAAAATAAAAATACAAAACTAACTCAAACATTTGAGTTTGTTTGGCTGGGGACGTTTTAGGTAGATTTTTTTTCCCTCCTCTCTAACCTTTGGAGTGGGCTGAGAGAGGGAAGAGTACACTTCCTATACACAGCTTTCAAAATCACACAAATCCCTTAAACAGATCTTAATCATTAAAGCTCCTCCTTAAAAAAAAAAAAACACAAAAAAACCCAAAATAAAACAAAACAAAAAAACCACAACCCTAATACAACAAATAAAATTGTAAATGCTAATCCTACTCAGGTGTGCCCAAATCATACAGAAAATGTATTCAGTATTTTAGTATTCAGCTACTAAACTTGAAACACAAATTGCAAATTAAATCTTTACATTTATAGAGAAATCTGAAGGAACTGGACAATATTAAACCACTGCAGATGCAAAGACCTTAATATGCAGTAGTCTGAAAAGAACAGAGAATAAAAAATAAAAAATAAGAATTCCTAACTTAAAAGAGATTGCTGTTTTGGGTTCAAGTCAATTTTAGCAGAGAAAACACTTGTTGCTGTGGTAGCCTGACACACAAAAATCCATGACAGTCACAAGTCTTCAAACACAGTATATGTGCTAACAAAAGCCTCACAAATAAAATAAAGGAGCACTCACTTATATAGAAAAGTTACCCTAATTATATAGAAAGTTACCCTAATGCAGTTGAAGAGAAGCAGCTGAATACGTTTTTCTTTACTAACTTTGATAACTTAATTCTTCAAGAGGGCATCTAGTCTTTCAGATTTTGTATCAATTAAAAAGCAAATGTATTCTACATAAATAATAGTGCTGTTCATTTTTAGTACATTTTTAAATACTAACAAGCACATTAACTTACTGGGAGCTTCAACTGAAGTTATGTTTTTCCAGTAGCTGATAAAATTATAAACATAAATGATTATATTAATGTTCTGTAACATTTTAGAAATTATGAATTCCTTTGTACTGCTGAAAATACTCTTGAATTTGAATGAGATGAAATCTTACTTCTAAGCAAGAGCTCAAAAATAATGAAAATCAGTTTTTGATCTGTGTGACCTTCTAGTGTCACATTTTAAGTATGAAGTTTAACTACATGATAAGGTGAGCTTGTAATAGAAACACTATCACATATTGGCAGAATTCCCAGGTATATCAAGTTGCGTGAAACAGATGTAACAAAGCAGCAGCACAGTTCTGGTAGTCTGAATAAAACTAATATGACCCACAGGAACTTAACATCCACCTCCCATAAATAATGAAAGATTAGGATTATTTTATGCAAAATGTTGTTTTATCTACTGCTTATAATTAATAGCCAATTTGTATCTCTGAGGCAATTCACAGCACCCCTCACATTCACAGCGCTGCAAACAAGTTCAGTGATTATTATGACACGAGTGTTCTTCAACTGTAATGGGATTAAACAGATACGGCCCCTGAAAGACTTGCTTATTTCTCCAGACACAAATGAGGAAAAATGAACTGACAAGAAACTGGTTATCATGGACTGTGACCTTCCAGCTATACGACATAACATCCTAATACACCACTGATAACTTTGACAGTTTGAGACATTTCAGATTGCATATTGCTCAAGCTATTATTAACTATGGTAGGGCTTTTTTTTCTTCTTTTTACTTGTTTCTGTGATCAGAATAGGTTTATACTTGAAAGCAACCAATTAAAGAAAAACAAACTTTCTAAAATCACTTATATAAAAAGTACTTATCCCATGCTTGATTATGAAGTGAAGATGGTGATGGCAGAAAAGAGGTAAAAGGGCACTGTCACAAAACATGACTGTCAGTCAGAACTTATTTAAAATACTCAGTGATCAGAAAGATACATTCCTTAAAACCATGCGTAAGACTAGAGTTTCAAGTCACGTAGGATTTTGAAAGTGAAAATAAAACAGACTTCTGGAGAACTGAGAACAGTGGTAAAACAGTACAAAAATACGCTGAACAGGTGCTCACAGTCACATACAAAGGCTTGTTATCACTCATTTCAAAATGGACCTGGCTTATCAGGTCTACAAGAATAGCATTCTAATTCTTGAAGCATCTTAAGCCCTCTACCCAGTTAATTTATTAACAAACACAATGATCTTGTAACAGTGGATACAGCAGCATCAACCACTTAACTTTGAAACTGTCCAGCAAGTACATGATTTATACTAACAGTGATAAATAAGGAGAGTAAGTACTCCTTCAACTTGCATGAGGAAAAAAAAAAACACCACACAAATCTATTAAAATTATTCAATTAGGAAAAAAAAACAAACATGAACATGACATATAAATTACGTTGACTATTCCTCTCAGTTTTGTACTTGCCTAGCAATACTTTAGCATCCTCCACATCAAAATCTCCATCTCCATCAGCATCATATATTCCAAGTTTGCCTAAAAATGTCAAGAGAAGAACAAGAAGTATTAGGAATTCTGCAACTTGTTTCCAACAGTGTTTTCTATGCATGATGGTTAACTGACAATGCTAGGATGTTACCATACTGATTACTTAATGATACTTTTTTTAACCACCTTTTATTTTATATTGCAAATATTTTAAGTTCCTGTCTTCATTTCCTAGACTTTAGACTGAATACAGGTAGGTTCTTTTCCCCACACATCTACTTTAGTGCTCACAGACTTAAAAACAGGCATATTATGGAATGGCTTAGGTTGAAAGAGACCTTAAAGGTCATCTAGTTCCAACCTCACCTACCACTACAGATCCACATTGCCCAGAGCCCCATCCAATCTGGACATGAACATGTCCAGGGGCAGGGCATCCACAAATTCTCTGGGCATCTGTTCCAGTGCACCGCTACCTTTTTTGTAAAGAATTTCTTCCTTATACCTCATCTAAATCTCCCCTCTTTTAGTTTAAAGCCATTACTCCTTGTCACATCACTACACTGGTCAATAAAAAGTGCCTCTTCACCTTTCCTGTACGCCCAGTTTAGATATTGGAATACTGAATGGAATAAGGTGATGAAGCATTTTCTCGCAACAAGTTTTGTTCAGCATAAAATTTAACTTCACAAGAAAGGCTCAACATTTTAAAGATGGAAAATAAATAGTAAAGTAAAAATAATAAATAATCAAGATTTGTTTTCAAATAATAAATTATTCTACATTCTTAGAATATAGATGTGTAGGTAATTTCACCTTTGGTGCTAAGTTAATGGAAGAAAAACAACCTACTTCCTAAACAAAGGAATAAACATTCATAGTTTTATGAACAACTATATAGCATCCAGTGTCCACAAAACCCTTCCGTAGGCGACATCAGACATCTCACTTTTAGTTTGGTAAGAACTCTGTCAGCATGAGATATAAGCAAAAGGAATATCTTGTTTCTATTTAAAAAAACAGTTTTTAGCATAGAAATACAGTGTCCAGGATTAGAAGTGCCCCGAGATCATCAGATAAATAGAGGACTGTCTAATTAATTTTCAAAAATCCAAGCCAAACTTTTAATCAGATAAAAACCCCACACACTGACTGCAGAAGGACTTCAACTCCTTGTGGTCTGTCAGTTAGTTATTAAATTTTGTCCTCTCTAAACGAAGGCAGAACTTGAATGCTAGCAAAATGAATGAAATAGAGAGCTATAGCTCTCTATATGATACTGAAAAATTTAAGGAAGTTCAGCTATGGGTCTAGAATAGACAGGTCATCATCACAGCACTGACTCTATCAGTTAGAAAGGATCTTAATTTATTTTTGGTTAAATACAATAGACTAGTGGAATAAATATCATGTTCCAAAAAAAAGAATAATATCACATTCAAAAACAGGAGGAATGAGAAAGATGAGAAATGACTGTTTCGTGTCATTATAGAAGAACAGTAACATATTAAAAGTTAAAGACAAAAATAAAGTTTCTAGCCAAGGGACAGTAAAACAACCTTACTTCTCTAGTATCCTACCTTGTAGTACCTCTGACAAGTTATAACGGAAATCCTTTGCTTTGGCTGCATGCATGGTAAAAATACAGAAACCATTATTTGCATCACTAGACCTAATTAGGTTTCAAGCCAGAAACTTCTCTTTAAATAGTTGTACATTAAAAAAAAAAAAAAAAAATTCTAAGAAGCGATTGTAAAGTTTTCAAAACCAGCAGTTGTAAAACTGCATATTGAAGCCTATAACAGAGAGAATAATTCTACCTACATGCATACATCCTGAAATTTGAGCCCTCAATTTTTCATTCCTAGATATTACATTAACAATACTGTCTTAACACTTTCATAATGAGACACAATTAACATTGTTGTAGGCTTAAAACTGAGGTCATACAAAATATTCACGAGACGACAGCTGTTTGTTCTGATACTACTACTAACACAGTCCACCAAAGAACCAGTAATAAGATTAGCCACCTACGTTCAACAAATTACTTCTTCAAGTTTCTGAGAAAAACTGAAAACTCAAACAACAAATGTTAAACTGAAATTCCTAATGAGCTACTGTATACACGTTATATACTGCATACAAGATGATGAAGATTAAACCTTGGAGATTTCTTCAATTTTTAAGTGCATGCAGTACTTCAGTAACCTTTTTCAGTCTTATGACATTCTCATTTTAGCATCAGAATTGAGCTCAGCTTTAAAATTTTTTTTTTTGAACTACACTGCATATTTTTATGTAGGACATTTTCATGCACTCCAATTGTCAATTTAGCTAACTACCCATGCACTGCTCCGTTTCACCGACATTGAACTTTAATATTTTGGTTTCCTTTCTGAAAGGTAAAATTGCACCCATTACTACCAAGTAAGTCTCAGTCATTATTAGAAGGGTTTTATTACACTATATTAAGATTTAAAATTCTTACCTAGGACTTCTTCATAATCTACAAGTTCAAACCAGACAACTGCTACTGACGTCCAAACTCCCAGCAAAGCAATTACCATAAACCAGGTGAAAAATGAGCTTCCAGAGAGGCCTTCTTTCTTTCCATTCTTGTTTCCTCCATGCTTACTCTCTGTTAAAATAAGGCACACAAATAGAAAAAAAAAAAATGGATTCGTGCTAAAAAATTATGATAAAGCATATGGTTATACATTTTGTGGATTTCTTCTGGAGTTTTCATGTCACTATGAGTTACAATGGACACCTCAATCATCATCTGTGCCGTAAAGGCCAAACAAACCAAATACCAATCCCTTCACCTTCCCCCTCCCCCCCCAAAAAACCCAACAAACCAACAATAATAAAGCAACCACATGTAATATGCTTCAACAGTGTAGTTGGAAATCCCTCCTTTTTCTTCTCTGGTATGTATTTGCACAGAGCTTAACATTTTTGAGATGTTTGTCATTTGTGCCGTTACTTCTTAAGCTGCCACCAGAGGGCAATGCCAGCAGCAGAAATGCTTCAAGAAAAGCATTTCTGAAGTGGCAAACACATTCAAAGCTAGCCAGTACAGCAAAGTTAAGTTAGCTTATGAAATCAACATGACAATTCAAATAGCCTACAGAGCAGCAAAAATCTAAACCTCATCAAGTGTAAAATTTGAAGTTCAGTCACTGTTCTAACTGAAAACTTCTTCTGTTTCTTAGAACTGTGCAGAGGTTTACATAAAACATACATTGCTTTGTCCAGTTTCGGATCATTTTAGGTAAGGAAGTAGTAAAATTGCACCTAAAAAGATGTCTACAGCTTTTTACCAAAGCTCAAGGTCTGTTCCTCTTCTTCCTTAAATGTGGAGGTTGGTGGCCCTGCAGGTAAAGGAGGGTTGGAGATTCATGATCCTTGAGGTCCCTTCCAACCCTGGCCATTCTGTGATTCTGTGATTCTGGTGTTTACCACTGCAAAGCTGGCAGTTTCAGACCGGCCAGCCCCAATTTTGTTCCCTTCAAGTCCTGCCCTTTGCCCATCCAGCCACACTGCTGTGCTAGTCCAGCAATCCATCCTCAAGTTACAAATGGTCAGCTACTTAAAGAAAGCAATGAAATCTCCCACAATACTGCCAATAGTCCACACTAAAAATATTTTTTTCACTCTTCAAATCAAATGATGGTGATCAAACAAATGCCCTCAAGTAAACCTATATGAAAATATTCATGCTCAACTCTTAACTCTTGTTAACGACAACAGTAATTCCAGTTTCAAGGACAGAGGTGGAGAATTCGCACCGCAATTAATCCAAGGCTCAAAATTCACTTTCTCTTAACTTTTTCAAGTTACTAAAACTTTGTAAGTGAAATTTTACATTCAATTAGAATCATTTAAATAATGATCTAGAAGCAACTATTTTGATCTAGTCCACATAAATATAAATACAAAAATACCCTGAACACCTGAATATTACCATGATTCCTCATTGGAATAAAAAAGAAGTAGCTTTTTAGAGTGAGTAACGAAAGACTGGTGGCTTATTACAGCTATCAATATGACATAGAAGGACTTTCAGAGCTTGCTTTTTATCAGGTTCATAGCTGCAATGAACAAGCTTTTTATTATAGTCATAGTGTTATGTACCATGGTGAGAGAAACAGTGTTGCAAGCAGGAGCAGAGAGGTGATTGTTCCCCTATATTCAGCACTCGTGAGGCCGCACCTCGAGTACTGTGTCCAGTTTTGGGCCCCTCACTGCAAGAAAGATATTGAGGCCCTGGAGTGTGTTCAGAGGAGGGCAACAAAGCTGGTGAGGGGTCTGGAACACAGGCCATATGAGGAGAGGCTGAAGGAGCTGGGAATGTTCAGCCTGGAGAAGAGGAGGCTCAGGGGAGACCTTATTGCTCTCCATAACTTCCTGAAGGGAGGTTGTAGTGAGCTGGGGGTCGGCCTCTTCTCTCGTGTCATTAGTGATAGGACCAGGGGGAATGGTTTCAAGCTACGGCAGGGGAGATTCAGGCTGGACATGAGGAAGTATTACTTTTCAGAAAGGGTGGTCAGGCACTGGAATGGACTGCCCAGGGAGGTGGTGGAATCACCGACCCTGGGGGTGTTCAAGGAAAGGCTGGATGTTGTGTTGAGGGACATGGTTTAGTAGGAGCTATTGGGAATAAGTGAACGGTTGACTGGATGATCTTTTAGGTCTTTTCCAACCTTGGTGATTCTATGATTCTATGAGAGCTATAGAAAACAACAACTGGCTCACTTCAGCTCATACGGATGCAGTACTTAGTTTAAGAATACATTTCTTTATTACTACTATCACAAAGATCAAATATAAGATATCTGGCTTACTCTGTACATTACATGCAGTTTCCTTGGTATAAGCTATCAATAATATTTAGAAACAGACAACAGCCTCTCATTAGGCATGTTCCACTTCCTAATACATAGTAACCAAATTACACAGGTACAATTTTATGAGCTGTGCACAACTCCCTTATGGGAAGATGTATGGATACCTTGAAAACACAGGTAGAGGCAAGCAGTGCGTGGCAATACACTCAGAAATTTTATCAACTATGTATGAAAATTATCAAATATTCCTTGAACTGTAAAATCAATTACGTAACTGCAGAATGTGGCTATTCCTGTATTTGAGTGCTTTAAAACCTTTAAAAATGAACCTTTAAGCTAAAACATTTTAAATTATTCCAGGTTACTGTTTTGTTTGAGAGCAAAGCATGTACTAAAAGAGGAAAACAGAAAAGATTATCATGTTGTATTTCATACTAATTCATCTACCTCATTTTTTTGTACTTTGCATTTACCTCTAATGAAAAGGGCTTTAGTCAATAGACGAACAGGAAAACAAAAGAAAAAAAAAGTAATAATAAAAAGGTAACTTTCCTTTTTCAATCTTGAAGTTTTTTCATGAAATTTCCTCCAAAACAGATTCTGATATAAAAAACATCTTTCACAACAGTGAAAAAACATATTTCTGTGCTCTGGTTTCCCTCATGAGCACAATATTTCCAAAATCCTTGAAAAATCCTGCTAGGAATTCCACCACAGCAGCTTTATCAGGTAGCTCTGACATACATGGAAGTCAGGCGACATAAAATTCGTGCGTGCTCTCAACAGAACCAAACACACACAGAACAAAAAACTGCAGGCCATCACGGAAGACTGCCTTCAGCTTAGAACGCATTCCAGACAGTTAATTCTACATTCAAGTCCTCTCCCTGTGCCCGCTGCCAGCCATGTCCAAAGTAGGTCACCTTCCATATCTGGCAAGCCTTTGCTTACACCACCAGATGGCTTTACGCAGACATCATAAAGTCTCAAATGGTGCTGTATGCCTCAGCGGCAAATTTTTAAAAGTCCTGTATATCACTCATCCAAATTAAGAGTCGTGGTTAGATAACACATAAAAAAAAAATAAAAAAAGCATTAAAAACATTTGCCTTTTACTTTAGTTAACTTTGAAGGTGCTCGGTAATTTTACATACTTCAAAAATAACTTTCAAGTGAGGTATCTGCACACAGACTAATGTCTTGTGTTAATAATGTGTGCTTACTCAAAGAGAAATGAAGTTACAATTTAGGAGTCTGCATAAATCCGTGAGAATTCTCTACTTCAGGAAACACTGAATCAAAACCAGAGGCAGTCAGTAATGCAGACTAATAGTAAACCGACTAGAAAGTACCAAAATGCCACAGTAAGCCATTTATTTTGCTGATTACAGAGTCAGTATTTGCAACCATGCATTTTCAGTTTGCTCACAAAAACAGTCAGGACTGTACCTGTGTCGTCGGCCATAACACTGGTGTTCAATTTTCATCAAGTGAGCGTGTCGTTATCTCCAAAAGCTAACACCGAAGGCAGAATAAGAAGCGATTTATCCTCACTGTAGTCTTGCAACAGGAGCTGAGTTTCGTAAAGCTAGCTCAGCTGGAACCCGAAACTGGACCGAAGTGAAAACTCTCCTCCAAAAAATCTATTTTTAGAGCGGTTATCTTCACGAGCCAAATGCTTTTCAGAACTCATATGGCAATCCCATTCTGACGACAATCAAATTCACTTGCGCCTCTTAACAGAGCACCCTGAGTAGCTGATCCTTTCCCCTCCCCTTAATCTCTCAACGTCACACATAGCAAATAAAATCAAGCACGCTGCGCTGCATGCTGCTGCCATCCACAGCGCCTCACTGCCCGCACTCTGAGGGCGTTACATCCACCAGCATAAGCTGGTGCACAAGTCCGGACACACAGCCTGCCGGCTTGCATTTGTCAGCCTGGCCCACGCCCAAGGAACTTTCTCCACGCTGTCACTCCTCTAGCAGCTTCCCAAACTCCTGTGCAGACTGACTCTTTCCAGTTGGCTTATCACTCAAGAAAACAGCCGATTTCTGAAACGTAACAGTGAGTTTAGAAGTCCCTTTGAATTGATTATACGTGTTGTTGCCAAGGAATTTTCAGATCAGAGCAGCTCCTCCAGAAGACTTCTTATTCGCTTCTAGCAGACTGAATGAAAGGGTTCTGACAATTTTGCCAAAGCAAAGCCTGTTTCCTCATAATGCACCACATACTAGACAAAAATTCTACTGCACATTCATAGAACCATAGAATCACAGAATCACTCAGGTTGGAAAAGACCTCAAAGATCATCGAGTCCAACCACAACCTAACCATACTACCCTAACTAACAACCCTCTGCTACATCATGTCCCTGAGCACCACATCCAAACAGTTTTTAAACACATCCAGGGATGGTGACTCAACCACCTCCCTGGGGAGCCTATTCCAGCGCTTAACAACCCTTTCTGGAAAGAAGTTTTTCCTGATATCCAACCTAAACTTACCCTGGTGAAACTCGAGGCCATTTCCCCTCCACCTGTCACCTGTCACCAGTGAGAAGAGACCAACCCCGCTCTCACTGTAAGCACCTTTCAGATATTGGAAGGGAGCAATAAGGTCTCCCCTCAGCCTCCTTTTCCCCAGACAGATTCATTGAAAGCACCAGAGGTATTGATTTTGCTTTCTTTCCCCTTTCTCTTTCAAAACTCATACCACACCTCCTTCATATTCTGAAAACATGCATGCTACTTTTTCAACAAGTGACCAGCATACTGTCCTTCTGCGCAAGGACCAGAAAAAGAAGAAAAAATAACAACACCATAATACTTCTGTTTTAGCAAACTGTCCTTTTCCCACTGAAACAAGAAGCAGCTCCCTTTTTGTAGAAGAGTGTGAAATCAACTCCTGTCCGATTGGCAGCAGTCTTGATGAAAGCTTTACTATTTAGCACTTTGTTCTTCCTCTTTCGCCCTTCTTTAAAAATACAATAATAATAAAAAAGTGAAGCATCACATGTACAAGGTATTTGGAAAGCCATCATACATCTCCTTTGGTTTTTACAATCCAGTAACTAATCCCCAAACATAGTTCCCAACGGCCGCAGGCAGAACTCCAATAAGTTTAAGACTTTTCAAAGAGATGTAAAGAAAGTGCAGGCAGATAATTCTATCAGTAATGTATCTTCTGAATACATCAAGGAGAACGGATGATTTAGGAAAGACCTCCTTGTTCCAGCAACACGTATGATGTACAACAGATTTACAAACAGAAGAAATTAAGCAAAAGTAAAAGCTCACTATGGATAAATCAATAGCTTATTAAAGAGAATTGGTTTTAAGTGCAATAGTATGTAGTCTGTTGCATAAAAAAACATGTTGACAGGCATTAGATTAGGCAATCTATTGCCACTTCAATACAGCTGCACCATTTGCATATAGTGTATTTTACTACAAGTGGAATCAGAGAGCATACAACTAATGTTGACAACCTGACATCATACATAGGTTGGAAGAGATTGCTTCAAAATTATTTATCAAGCTGAACGTGTGTAAGCAGTTGCAGTACACCATTCTATTTTGTTTGCTTCAAAACAAAAGTATATTCTCAGACAACTGAACAATGAATAGAATCAGAGAGAGGGAGGACAGTTGAAAAAATCATTTGAAATACGCACTACTGATCTGAGCTACCACACAAACATACACTGACCTTTAACCAAGTATCCACAGCTTTATATTGTGCCACTCCAAGCAAACGCACTACGAGAACTGATTCAAGAAATGGAATACGCATTCCTCCCTGACAGGGAAGCTGCAACTAAAATTGAGAAAATGACCATAAAAAAGAAGATGGGCCAAAGGATTGCACAACTGTAACTCATCATGAACAACATGATGAACACATACTCTTCCACCTGTCTCTGTGGATGCTATAGAACGAAACACTCAAGTTAATGTAATTTTGTTTAGCATTATTTAAGAAAAATCTTAACTAGACAGATAATTAAAAACAAAGACTGGGATCAGTTCAGTCAGCAGTACAGACTTCTTGAATACACTTTATTCTACAGCGTTGAAATGCTCAGTGACACTCAAAAAACAGTGTCACTCACATCACTTGTATGAATGTTAGTTTGAAAACTATTTGCAAGAGAAATTTGCTATAACTGGTATGGTATAACTATGAACACTATTTTAGTTTATTTTAGGAAAGCGTAACTGACCACTCGGGACACCACCTGATAGAGCTACCAAAGTGCAAGAAAGAGATTGCAAGAGGGGAAAAAAAATAAACATGAACATAGAAATAATGACTGTTTCAAAGCACCAAAGGTAGCTGTTCTGATGTATATAATTATTTCTCACAGAGGTAGGAAAGAAGCACGGGAGCAGTTATGGATTATCACATGATGAGAAAGCTGCATACAAGAGCACAGTTACAAAAAAAAAGAAAAAAACACAGTAGAATGAAAAACAACAAAGCAGTTCAACAGAAAAATACCTACAGTTAGCAAATCGGAAATAAGTTGTCAGAGCAATATAAAAAAGAGTGTGACAAATAAGCTAAGATATGTTACAATATAATTGCCCCACTACTAACAGAGACGAATCAGAGCAGAGGACAGCCACATGCCCAGTTACTGCTTGACACTTTGCCAAATCATATTTTCAAATACAATTAACAACTTAAACTAAAAGAATTCTTGCAAACCATTTTCAACAATACAATCACAATTAATTACTTTGTACAGTTACTATTTTGAATGTGATCAGTAGCAAGTATTTTGAGTAATACCTATTAAAGAGAAGCTTACAGCATTCTCTGTAGTTCTCACTGTTCCTCTTCTTATTAAAATAGCTTTGTCAACTCAATACTGTGAGATAGATCAGCTATTTGTATATGTATATACACAAGCACATAATATAAACATACATATATATATACACACTTCTAATGTATGCGTATGTACATTTGCACCTTTTGCAATCCCACCTATAGCAGTGGAACTACGCAATCCTTCCAACCCAAACCATTCTATGACTCTATGATTTTTGGTGCGTATTTATTTTAAAATCTAGATTCAATAAGCATATATATTGAACTGATACACTCTGACAAATCTTCACATCATAACAACTACAAGTACACTACTAAGGTTGAAACTGATTTCATTATATATCTGGACAAATTGGACCTTGGCCCAGGGCCTGATCCAGCCTCGCCCTGAAAGTCTCCAGGGACAGGGCATCAACCACATCTCTGGGCAAACTGTGCCAGTGTCTAACCGCCTTCACTGTAAAAGACATTTTCCTTATAACCCACCTCAATTTACCCTCTAGGAGCTTGAAGCCATTTCCCCTTGTTCTATCACCACAGACCCTGCTAAAGAGCCTGTCCCCTTCTTTCCTGTAGCTCCCCTTTAGATACTGACTGGCTCATGTCTGGCTTGTCATCCACCAGTACCCTGGGTCTTTTTTTTTTTTCCATCCCCCAGCCTGTATCAGTGAGGGTTGCCTTGATCCGGGTGCAAGACCTCACATTTGAATTTGTCAAACCTCATGAGGTTTGCCTTTGCCCAATGCTCTGGATGGCATCCCATCCCTCTGGTGCGTCACAGCTTGGTGTCATCAGCAAACTTACATTCCATTTAGGTATGAGGAGAGACAATATACTGAGCATTGTTAAAACTAAAACTTCTGTTGATGTGAAAAAGAAAATTTTAGGTAGATAAACCATAAAATCTAATCAAGAATTCAGAATCAGATCACATCAGAATCAGATGAGAGAGGATATCTTTTGAGACTTTAAATATTTACACTTTTACTTCTCTGTGCATATGTGTAAGGTACTGCTATTCAAAAGCATTGGGATATTCATTATCTGTACACTCTGTATCAACTCTTTTTACAAGTGCAGAAATGGACACAGCTGGAGAAAGGCAGGGCATCCAGAGTAGCATAAGCTGGAAGAATGCAATAAGAGAAATTAAAGAAAGGATAACACAGTTAAGCGTAAGCAGTAGGTGTGATTTGTTTTTACTGTAACAGCAACTACAAAATCTAACTCAGAGTGAACCACATGTTTTCCAAACACTCAACTGAAGATCTTGACTAAAGAGCTGAGTCTAATTAAAAGAAATCAAAGCTATGCAACAGTAAAAAATAAAATAAAATAAATACAGGAACAGTAGACTACAAGAAGAATCAATCCAGTGATCAAATTTTAAATATGAGAAGGTCAGTATTTCTTAAAGTTCAGCCCACTGCTGAATATAAAGCTGTTATTGTTTGCTTTTTTTATATATCATCAGCTATCTTTATGGTTCACAGGAAGTCCCACAATATTTAGAAGACTTATTTAGAAGAGTTGCAAGCTAAGAAAATTTGTTATTAAGGATTAAGAATTAACTAATCTTCAGGGGAAAAAAAAAAATCAAGTACAAAACAAGACTTTGACCATTAACTGCCTGATTAAAATCACACCTTCCTCCTAGTTTTATTAATATCATTTAGTTATATTTATCTTGTGCTGGAGCACATTCCCAATGGAGACTGGCTGAGTAAGTTGGAGCTCTTCAGCCTGGAGAACAGAAGGCTGTGGGGAAGGCCACAGAAGCCTTCCTAGACCTGAAGAGGGCCTACAGGAAAGCTGAGGAGGTACTTTTTATGAGGGCACATAGCAACAGGACAAGGGGAAATGCCTTTAAACTGGAGGAAGGGTAGATTTAGATGTGGGTGGTGAGACACTGGAACAGGTTGCCCAGAGAGGTTGTGGATGCCCCCTCCCTGGAAGCATTCAAAGCCAGGCTGGATGGGGCTCCCTGGTCCAGAGCAAGGTGTCCCTGCCTACAGCAGGGG